TGCCCTTCATACTAATAAGTTATACCTCAATAAAAAAGTAAATAAAAAGAAATGTCAAAATGTACCCAATTAAGATTGCTTTCCAGGAAAGGAAGTGAATGTATATTCTTACATATTAGTTTATACCTACTTGACTCAAGGAGAGAATATCAAACAGAAAATTTTCTTTTTTTTTTTTTTATTAAGCCACCATGATCTGGGCATTTTGAGAAAAGCAACTCAGAGGAAGCTTTCTAATCCTGCATCTAATTAGACCAGAGGCCTTTATATGAAGTTAGTGAGCTGCTTTCCGATACTTGTTTAGCAGATCTAACAGCTTCCACCTCGTGCTGTAGAAACAAAAATAAATCTGTACATTTCCAAGAAAAACAAAGAAATTAGTTTCTATCCTCAAATCTACTAAAGAAAAGCATTCATAGGAACCATACGCCGTTTAATGAGCTAGGACTTAAAAACAGATATAGCCTGCCAGCATTTTGAGTATTCAATAATAGCAGTGGTCACCTGGGGCAGCGGAAATAACATGGTAACGATATTTTGAGAGGTTCCTGGAATCAAAACACAGGTCAGATTTTTCCCTTTTCCTTTTGTTTTCAGGGGAAAATTAGTTATTCTCACAGGGATTGGGGACAATTATTTTCTCAGACTGTGATCACCAGGCATGGTCTATTTCTTCTCACATCTAGTCTGAAACTAGTATAGTAAAAAATCATCTTGTACTGTTAGCTAATTTTCAAGCCAACAGTAGGAGGACAGTCAGCTTTCTGAAACAGGAAGAGCACAGGGCTCGGGACAGATCGAGGTAAAAACAAAAACATCTATTATTTAGTGATTGGTGGTGATATCTATTTGGACACAAAAGAATATAAAGCAGATAGTCAATTCAGTGGAAAAACAAAGGCATTTTGTTTACCTTGTCATATTAAACTGTATAAATGACTACAAAAAATAATAGCAGTTCTCTGCTATTTAGAACTTAAATGTGTGAAAAATTTTGAAAGTCTTTTTGCGGTTTTGCAACTATGGATCAAAAACCAAAATTACAGAATAAAATATGTTTTTGACTGCTTGATACTACATAATGAAGAACTGTTCATGTTTTATAGATTTATTCCAAGAAATTCAACAAATACCTCAAAACAGTATATTAAGACACTTCTAAATGTGACTATTTGTGGAAATAACCAGAACGAAGATGTGAAAAATCTCAGTCACAGAATTTAAAAAATAAATGCAGTTTCATTTAGATAACAGCTCATGACCTCAATGTAGAATGTACTGGCAGATTAACGTTCATAGATACTTGCTTTATCTGTTAATGAACACATAAAAATGACTTGTGATTAACACAGCTGTACTTGGTAACCAACTCACAGACTATATATAAGAAATGTGAATAATCATACTATGGATTTTCTTACACCCCTTCTCCACCATGGATCTTGTAAAGATGAAAAGTTCATAAATTGAGAGTTGCACTCAACCTAAATATACCTCTAATCTATTTTGTAAGGAATTGGGAGTTTTACCACTGAAAATATCACTGAAGTTTTTATGTTTTGAAACTTCACCTCTCCCTATTTGGTAGACATTTTATAATGTGAAAACAGACATTGGGAGCGACTGATTCTGACTTCTAAAATCAATGAAAATATTTCTGCTAAGTACAAAAATAAAGTTCTCAGTACATTATCAGTTACAATCACAGAGCCACTGAAACTACCTAGGCTTTTCCTGACCCTCTTAAGATTAAATCAGACGCTGCTGCTAACTATGCTTATCCAGTTCTTTAGCAGAGCACTTATGCATCAGCAGTATAATTCCTGGATTATCTGTCTCTCCTACTAGACTGACTGTAAGTTCTATAAGCACAAGAACTACATTTATAAACTTCCACAGAATTATACTTTTATATAGTTATATATATATATATAAACTTGTACTCCTCAAATATTATAATGAATTATTTTGGATATTTCTCTTAATGAATCCTCTCCCATCAGATGCTCAGTCTGTGATGTTTACCTTTCGTCTCCTTGTCACCTAATACATATTTGTTGAATGAATTTCCACAGCCTAATAGAGTGTCAGTAAATTCAAATAATTTGGTGAACTAATCAATCAATTTTCTAAAAGCACACCAAGCTTTCCTTCCCAAAGCTGAGTGGGTGTTTGTCAAGCTCCCAAATGATAAGAATTGTTCTAAGGTGGCCAGATAGACACGATGCTGTGCCTTAAAACTTGCAAAGTTAATCTCAGACAACTGAGCATTAGAAATTCTTATTCTGGGTTCTCAACTTTACTCATCCTTGAATGGGCTTCAAAAAAATTAGACTCACATTCCTTGACTGAAGAATGTACATCCTCTAAGAGAACATCTCATTTCCTTTGAAAATATATTTAGGAGCATTGTAAAAAGAAGAGAGGTGGAAGAGCATCTATGATTTAGCTTTTTGGATCAGCTCAATCTATACAGACAAGCAACAGAGACAAAAGTCTGTTCTCATGTCCCCCCAAAACAAATTCTACATTGAAAAGGCAACAGGCAAAGGAAAAACAAGATAATAGAATGACAAATTAACAGATAATCCATTACATAATAAAACTAATATGCTGTCTAAATCCAATAATTATCATTACTGACTAGTTGTTAACCATTAAAAAGAGCTATCTCATTTGTAATTTTAACTTTGAAACCCTCCACTGCACTCAAATATATGCAAGCAGAAAAGAAAAGGGTTTTAACTGAAGTTAGAAGTAGCACCCCCATGCCCACTTACACTGTGACCATATTTAGTAATTTCACGAAAACAACTGAAGCCTTAATTCCTCCTGTGAAGCAACTTCTTGAGACTTTTAATCACCAGCGCTCTGCTGAAGATTTCTATTTCATCAGCCCTCTCCCAGCTAAGCTCGATTTCTCCTTCTTTCGTAGAGTGCTGTCCCGTGAGATTCTGAACTCCCTCATTAAGGGGTTTCCCCGACCCCACTGGGCAAACCCCAGCCCTGGCAGACTCCTTTCTCCAAGGCTGCTGACTGGCCAGAGAGGAAGCGGCACGCTGGCCTGAGCTCATTAGAGATGATTAGTCCCACTCCAATCCCAATCTTGGTGTTGATTATTAACACAATTTTCCACCCCTCGTGGAATCTACAGCACTCCTAAATGGAGATGTTCGGAAATGCACACTTCTAAATGTGAGTATAACCACAAAGATGAAAAGGTCAAAGACCTCGGTTCACCTTTATTTCTAATTCTTGGCTCTACAAAGCTACTTTGTACTGGAGTCCCCTACCTACGTGTTTGTTTAAAAAGAAAAAGCATAGAGAAGAAGTGATCAGCCAGCAAAGAAAAAAAGGAACCCAAGGTCAGACACGGTGGCTCACGCCTGTAATCCCAACACTTTGGGACGCCAACGTGGGCAGATAACTTGAGGCCAGAAGTTGAGACCAGCCTGGCCAACATGGTGAAACCCCATCTCTACTAAAAATATAAAAAATTAGCCCAGCATGGTGGTGCACACCTGTAATCCCAGCTACTTGGTGGGGGAGGGGGGGGAAGAAATGAGAATTGCTTGAACCTGGGAGGCAGAGGTTGCAGTCAGCCGAGATCGCACCACTATACTCCAGCCTAGGCAACAAACTGATGCCTCATCTCAAAAAAAAAAAAAAAAAAAAAAATTAAAAAGTACCTGAAGTAGAATTTCACTTGTAAAATTCTTCTGGAACCCTCTAGTCACTCAGCTCTTTCCAGGACAGGCACTGCAAATCTCAGTTCCTCATTCAAGATCTGTAAGCAACTATCCCTGGGCCTTTTTCATTCAGAGCCCTCCTGCCCCTGTCAAGTAAAATTCGATTCCTTCTCTGGATCCTTTCTTTCCCAATTCCCTAAGCCTGGAGGGTTCTGCATCCCTCTTTTCATTTATGTAGAAATACTATTTCTGTCAAAAGCCTACATTTTGCAATTTATTTTCCTCTCAAAATCTTTCCTTCACTACCTCCTGCCCAAACCTTGAGTCCTTCTTCCTTCCTCCATGCTCCTTGTAGGACCTGTGCTAAGTAATTCATTTGTTTGGTACTTTTTCATTGTGTTTTGTGACGGATTCTCACTTGCATTTCATAGGTAATGATAATCACCTTGGCTATTTCCTAACTTCATAACCCATTTATGCCTGAGGTTGTAATTTTTTGAATTTCTGCAATCAGACTTTGGCGATGACCTTGAGCAGTAGGATATAAATAACTCCCACATGCTTAGTGTTCCAATAATGGAACACTAGGCATAAATGGGATAATCTAATCTAGTTTTTTGAGACAGAGTCTTGCTCTGTTACCCAGGCTGGAGTGCAATGGTGCAATCTCGGCTCACTGTAGCCTCTGCCTCCTGGGTTCAAGTGATTCTCCTGCCTCAGCCTTCTGAATAGCTAGAACTACAGGCATGTGCCACCATGCCCGGTTAATTTTGTATTCTTAATAGAGATGGGGTTTACTGTGTTGGCCAGGCTGCTCTTGAACTCCTGACCTCAAGTGATCCACCAGTCTCCCAAAGTGCTGGGATTACAGGCATGAGTCACTGTGCCTGGCCACAATCTAATATAGTTTTAAAATATATTTTTAAGTATCACCTAAAGAATTGGGTTGAACTACATAAAAGTGTTATTTTTAATAGGTAAAAAATAGTCTAATATCAATAGTGTTACATGGTTAAATTCAGTATTTTTATTGGAACTCAATAAATGTTCTTAAATATCTTCTTGTTACCTTCTACCTCAGGATAATTATGTAGAAACTGCCCCACAATGTCTAAGTCTGTCTCTCTAAAACTTGTAAAACATTTCTCCCCAAACTAATTAAAGGATTCAGTGCTTTTTCCAAATGTCAAGTTCCTATTATAAAAATAAAACATTATATTGTGTAACTAAGATAACAAAGAATTATATGACATTTCTAGAAATGTAGCAGAAAAGAACGATTCAGGTTGAACGATAATATCTTAAACTTACCCTCTTCTGTAGGATTAAACCCACAGATGTCACAAATACAACGAACCCACTTATTCATCTCCTCCTCGCTATCCGCTACCAAGTAGAAAATCCGGTCAATAGTGTTGATATCAAAAATGTAGCTGTTTTCAAACTCTTTTTTGTTAAATGTCAATCCAGCATCTACTTGTTGACATAAATTTAAATCAATAATACGAATAGGCTTCTTGGCATGATCATTTTTGTAATATTCCAAAACATCTGGATCTCCAGTTAAACGGCCACTGCGTAACACGAACCATCTCCGCTTCCATGCCTAGAAACAAAACAAAAATATCCATTCAGCATTGAGATAATGTTTTCAAGAAGATGCACATTTATCAAATGAATTTTACAAATGCATTGTCTAGAGAAAGTCACAGAAAATGTGTGTGTGTGTGTGTGTGTGTGTAAAACCACAGAATAATCTGCCACTCCGAAAAGCAAAGTTTACTGATACCTCAATTAACTTAATAATGTATATATATTCCGTATCTTCAATTAAATCTCTTACTGTATAATATCAAGGCAATAAATCAAGGAAGATTTAGTTTTTACTAAATATAAAAAAGTTATGGTTTCAACAAATGGTGTTGGGAAAACTAGAAATCCATATGGAAAAGAATGAAGCTGGACATTATGTTAAGTGAAATGGCCAGTCATAAAAAGACAAATATCAATGATTCCACTTATATGAGGTAGTTAGAGTAGTCAAATTCACACAGACAGAAAGCAGAATGGTGCTTGTCAGGGCCTGGGGCTGGGGTGGGGAATGGAGAGTTATAATAGCATTTAATGGGCCTAGAGTTTGAGTTGAAGAAGATAAAGTTCTGGAGATGATGGTGGCTATGGTGCAATGGCGCTGTGAATGTATTAATACTTAATGCTAGTGAACTGAGTTAAAAAGTTAAAATAAATTTTGTTACATATATTTTGCCACAATTTTTTAAAAAGCAACAGATTTTCATGGGTTAGTATCATGACATAAACAATACACATAAAGCGGCTTCTTCATAAGACTTGCAGATTTTTAACATTTAAAAGATTTCTCTCTCTTTTTTTTTTTAGGTGTAGTGGCAAGGAGTGTAGGGAGGGGAAAAAGGGTTTCAAAGCTTTTTCTGGCTTCTTGCCTGGGAAGCAATTGATTGTGTCTCTCTTTTAGGCACACAGCCTGTTGTTCAAACACTACGTGAATAAGACCTGTATTCTTGAATATGGGATTTAACTCTTAATATTTTTCCTCCTCTTCCCAACAAATATATGTGCGCAATCTGGACTACACTCATCACATACCCCCTCCACAAATTCTGGTAACTTCTGAGTTGAATACTACACCTAGAGAAGCCTAAAAATTCTTTTACTATCTCCCTCTCTAAATCTATATTCACCAAATGATAATAAAAGCAGAACCAAATGACAAACAGCCTTCCTCGTCAGCCTTAAACCCCAACATCTGTGCCTGGAAACAAACTTATACCTTACTCCTCTTCGAAGTTCTTCCTCAGGGAGGCAGCTAGATAGTTAAGAGACCTATTTTAGCAAGTCTCAGTCATTTACTAAGAGACATTCTCTACTCCAGATTGAGCATTCTAGGTAAGACTGACTCAAGAGGACACTCGGGCTGGGCCCAGTGGCTCCTGCCTGTAATCCCAGAACACTGAGAGGCTGAAGTGGGCGGATCATTTGAGGTCAGGAGTTTGAGACCAGCCTGGCCAACATGATAAAGCCCCATTTCTACCAAAAAATACAAAAATTTCCTGGGCATGGTGACAGGTGCCTGTAATCCCAGCTACTCAGGAGGCTGAGACAGGGGAATTGCTTGAACCCGGGAGTCAGAGGTTGTAGTAAGCTGAGATCACACCACTGCACTCCAGCCTGGATAGAACAAGACTCATAAAAAAAAAAAAAAAAAAAAAAAAGAAAAGAAAAAAAAGAAGCGGGGAGCAGGGAATCCTGGGAAGTGGAAGGACTCAGAAACAAGACATCTTATGAACCCCAATGGAATAAAATATTCCCTTTGCTACTTGTGGGAAGAAAAACAAGTATATAATTCATTATTCCTACTTTCAAAGAATTGACTAATTGTTAAAAAAAATTTTTAACATACATGAAAATATTTGAGACTATAGCAACCCAGACAAAATGTCTGCAGAACTATTCCTAAATGAACGGGCATTCCTCTATAGAAAAATTTAGGCAATTCTTTAACAAGAGGATTACTAGAGAAATTTCAAAGGCCTACAAACATTATATAGGTCTTTAATATCATCAGTATTTTAAATTAACCTCTCATTCTTGGCATAGCTCAAAGGAAAAAGTAAATAATTGGTGTCCAAGGAGAAGGCAGGGTAGAGTCCTATAGATGTTTTAGATAATACTGAAAAGTCATAAGTATTAGATTCACATGATTTTAGCACTGTTTTCTGGATTATAAAAATCCATTTAATATGCATCTATTTACTGCAAAATAAATATCATCTCTTAGTAAAATTATGCCTCTATGGATATTTCCCTATCAAGCAGTAAGCCTTAAAAAGTAATGCAGATGTAAAGCAAAAGAATATAGAATATTATGTTATTTATGTAAAGCCCTCAAGAAATCGTATCTTTTCGTGATTTCTTGAGATAGTGAAGCTTCATCTTTAAATACAGAAATACTTTTTTTTAAATTGTACTTTAAGTTCTGGGGTCCATGTGCAGATCATGTAGGACTATTGCATAGGTATATATGTGGCAAGATGGTTTGCTGTCTTCATTCCCCCCATCACCTATATCTGGTATTTCTCCCCTCATTATCTCTCCCTACCCTCCTCACCCTCCCACTGTCCCTCCTCTAGCCCCTCCCAACTGACCGCAGGGTGTGATGCTCCCCTCCCTGTGTCCACGTGTTCTAATTGTTCAACACCCGCCTATTAGTGATAACATGCAGTGTTTGGTTTTCTGTTCTTGTGTCAGTTTGCTGAGAATGATGGTTTCTAGATTCATCCATGTCCCTATGAAAGACATGAACTCATTGTTTGTTATGGCTGTGTAATGACTTTTTACAACTTTATTGTCTTGCATGCAAATCTTTCTAAAATGCCTTACTACATACTTCACCAAAAATAATCCATTCTCCAATGATTCAGACTAAGTATTATAGGCATCCCTTTCTATACTGTACTTCAGGAGGCTTTCAGAGGCTGTTGTACTGTATGGAGTGTCATTTGTCCCTATAATATTAATAAATAGTACTATATTGCTGTGCTTCTATAGTTCATCTTTTAAGTACAGTTTCCTGTCTTTTTTCTCTCAATTTTTATCAAGTGTCACTTTTCCCCTCCAATAATAGGGTTTGTAGAAGGCTAAACTCTTACCTGCCTCAGGGACTTTGCACATATTTTTCCCTAAATATGCTATATTCTTTCCCTCACTTTTTGCCTGGCCAACTCCAACCTTTAGGGCTTCTCTTCCCTGACCACCCTCAACACAACCAACTCCAAGGTAAAGTAAAAAAATAGCACAGTTTATTTCTTACCCACGTAGTGATTTGTGTAATTTTGCAATTCAATTTTTCTTTGTATTTATTTGTTTAGCATCCAACTCCCCAAACAGACTGAAAAGTTCAAGAAGATAGTGACCACATCTGCTTTATTTGCCATAGCACAGGGCCTGGTACATAGGATATTTGTACAATAATAGAATTCTCCTGAGAGAACACACTTGTAAAATTTTTGAGATTAGCTTTGATACATGGGCCACAATGAAAAGAGTGCTTTCCCAAAGCATCTTCCACTTGAGAAAAAGAGCTCCAATACTGAATAAATAATACATAATAAAATAAACATAACTAAGATAACTTTATCAAAACACATGCACGAAACATCTAGGGAAAATAGAAAAACCAGAAAAGAAGCAGCATGTCCTTTTGCTACAGCTTATGTGTCATTCTTTGTTTTCCAGCTAACTGTGGCTCCCCCGCCTCAGCCATTCCTTGGCTTCTCTGTTGAAATCACATTGTTAAAATTCAAAAAGCCCTTAGGAACTAAAATAATCAAGAAATGAGTAGCAATGAATTGAGGTGCACTAGATATATTGGGCTAGCAATTATAGAGGCTGAGTAGACATTATACAAGACATGAACCCTTACAGCAGGAAATTACAGCATTAAAACACAGAATTTAGCCAAGCAGCACCTGCCATTTATTTATTTATTTTTAACATGGTCCAAATGTGAATGTTTGTCTCAGTCACAAAATGAGTCACCCTCATTGAATCTGGCACAGATTAAACTGGAAAACAAAAGCAATTACATAAACTACACACTTTAATAAGGCAGATACAAAGGTTCTCTGGATTATGGTACAAAGCACAATTTAACCACAGAATAAAGCTTGATGCTCGACAAGAGAACTGACATCAGCACCCTTGCTAATCACAGCACAAAAGTGTCTCTATGTTTTGTCAGAGCACAAAATGGGCCCACATAAATCAGTCTTTGTTATCTGAAAATATCTGAGATTCTTAAAGTTTGTCCTATTTTTATCCTTGCTGCCTTGGTAGCTCCAGAGAAAGCCATACACTGCCTTGCCAATCCTGCAAAGCAGTAGCAGACAAAAAGGACAGGCTTTCTAGAAACCTTCAAAACCAAATACTCAGAGTAATTTTAAACAAAATTCACAAAAAAATCATTGTAATGATTAGACTTCCATTACAGGCAGGTAATGAAGAAACGGAAATTTGCAAGATGTCTGCATAGTTGAGAAGGACTATGTAAAAACTTATTTTGTAGTCATTTCTTTTGTGCAACAGTTGCTCCAATTTTGAGTTGAACAAATAATGTCCTTAACAAGAAGTCAACAGTTAAGTCTGCATTTTGGGGTAACTTAAAATTACCAAAATCTGAATCCAATTCCCTATGCTCAGCGACTGCTTCCTCTGCCTATAGGATAAAACCCAAACTCCAGCAGGGCACACGGGACCCTTCAATCAACTCCTGCCTCATCTCCACCCATAAATCTCTCCAGCCTCACATCTAGCCTCTCTGCCTTGCAACCACATTGGAAATGCTTGCAGTTTCCAAACATTCTGCTCTGTCCTACCTCTGGCCCCTCGGCACAAAAATCTACCCCCTAGATTCAGCTCAGTCCTCTTTGGGGCATCATCCCTGAGCTGGCTCTCAGCTCTCCATTTCCACCTTGTTCCTAAATCATTTGATATCTGTACATTTGAATGTACTGAGGGCTGGAGCCATTTTAACCTTTCGTCTTTCCTATTCCCTGAGCACCCCAAGGAGGT